CTGAACACACAGATGACAGCAATGTAAAATGTGATCGCAGTAGAGAAGGGTCAGAAAGAGGAGGCACAAAAGTGAAAATTATTGCAATTTGGGTGGAGGACCTTGAGTTATTTTATTCTTCATATTATGTTTTCTCTCTTTGTGGTTATAATTTTAGAAAAGGAGACCCGGAAAGATTTGGGGCAAGAGTTTATATAAAGAACAAGACTTGATTAAAAAAGAATTTGTCTGGCCAGACGAGTCGGCTACACTGGTCTATGACTTTGTGTCCCAGGATCCCGGATGGGTGCTGCCTGGGGCTCCCTGCTTGCTTTGCATCTGCAGGTTGTTTGGGGCAACAGTGATATGAACAGAGGGAAAAGGGGACTGTGCCCTTCGCAGACAGTCATTTTCAGAGCAGAGTGGGCTAGATGAATCAGCCCTGTCTAGCACATCCACCCAGGGCAAACCACAGCCTCTGCCCAGAGCCGGGCAGCCCCATCTCAAGTCTGCGCTTCAGCTTTGCTGCCTATTGAAGCCAAGCAGCATCTTCCCCAGCTCTGCCTCTCGCCAGCTAGGGCTACCAGGTTCCCGGGGAGCAGTGGGGTCAGCACTGCTTCTCCCTAGTCCTGCCCGGCACCCATGGTGCGCGAACATACTGTCCACCTCCACCGGGAAAGGGTGCTGGTCTGGGAACAGAAGCAACGTGATTTCCATGCAGGGTTAGTGACAGACAGCCGTACCCTGACGCACCCTTAGATTTAATAGTGACTAATGACAAACTGTGAGCCAGGCACCAGCACACCGGTGAGGACTGAGGGGGGGGTTAAGCCTGAAACTAGAAGGCATGAATTTTAAACTCCACTCCCACGTGTGTGACCTTGGCAAATTCTGGACTCTTGGACTTGGTTCCCCTGCCTGCAAAATGGGAGCAAGAACTTTAGGCAAATGATATAAATTTTTCAAGACTTTTTTTTTCAATCTGTAGAACAGGGACAATAATATCAAAATTTTGTGAAAGTAACATCTATAGGGCTGTTGGCTCAGTACCTCTTATGTAGTATGAGCTCAATAAATATTAGTCATTGACTTAACACCTACTTTAGCGGGATGCTGCAGTGAGACATGTATAAGCGGTCTTTAAAATAATACACTAAGATCATAAAATAGTTTTCAAGTTGGGCAGATACCAAATCTTTATTTTTTTTTTGGTACCAGGGATCAAACTCGGGACCTTGTGCCTGCCCTGCAGGTGGTGGCCCCACCAAATCTTCTTTAAAAATGATAACGCCTAGTGTTTGTGAAGGGTGTGGTGAGCGGGTGCTCTGGATGAACTTTAAAGCATGTTGGTATTTTGGCAGCTGAACATACTGTTCACACATTCTACGCAGTTCACCATCGTAATATCACTTCTAGAAATCTGTCGAGAGAAAAGAATCAGAAATGAGCAGTAAGATTTTTGTACAAGGATGTTCATCACTGAATTGTTTATAAATAAAAAAAGCATAAAGTATTAGGGGCTTAAATTTAAAAGATTACATTTATATCATATGCAATGTAACTTTAAAGACATGTTTTAGAATAACACTTAATAATGTGATAAAATACATGTCATTAAGTGAAGAAAACAGGCAACAAAATAATGATTGTAAATACAGTAGCAGGGCTATGGGTGGATGTAGCCCAGTGGTAGAGCCCTTGCCCTGGGTCAGATCCCTAGTGCACACATGAAAAGTGCGCCTATGTACGAATATATAAACAAATAGCTACTGAATGTCAACCATTTGGGAATATAATTGATTCAGTCTTTGATCTCATAGATGAACCCCAATTTATCTGGAGAAAAACATATACATGCGTATTTTTATATAGAGAGAAAAATATAGTATCTTCATGGTGAAATAATAGGTGTTTTTTTTATATTTTCCGGTGGTTTCCTTTTTCAAAAAACAAAGAATCTGGGTGTGGTGGTGAGCACCTGTGGTCCCAGCTACTTGGGAGGCTGAAGCAGGAGGATGGCTTGAGCCCAGAGTTTGAAGCCACCTCTGCCCTGGAGCGGAACCCCCGTATTAAAACACCAAAAGAAGGAGAGCGGGCATGATTTTAATAATCATGGGGGAGCTCTTGACATTTTTAAGGGGAGGGAGAGGTCAGGGGACCTGGCACTATGTGTAGAGGGTGCCCCAGCAGCAAGCTATCCGAGCCATGTTGGGCTGAGACTGTCCCCAGGCCTCAGTCTCATCAGCAAACACATGAAGCTGATCATTCCTGCTTGCCACAGGTCATGAGAATCCAGGAAATCATGTGCATGTGCTTTTTAAAATACACAATGTGCTACACACTAATATTAGGTTCAGCAGGTGGCTTCCCACCTCTGGCCCTCCGCATCGTCATTCTTAGAATGGACAAAATGAGCTTCCAGTTCTGAAGCCCAGTGACTTAACGTAAGTTCGAATCTCAGAAGGTTCGATTACAAACTCAGTGTGTACTCTCTGATTTTGCAGATAATGGAGGGGAAGAAGGATCTTACATCTCTGCCTTCTTCTCCTCCAGTTACCGAGCATTTCCTGGGCTCCTCGCCACTGGTGCCACTGGCGCCATTTGGGGGTGGGGCTGGGGGAGCTCTAACATGCAAGATGTCCTCACAGTGTCCAGGGTCCTCGCTCAGCCCCTGGATGGACTGGGTGGGTGGACTGAGTCACATCCCCATCACCCAGCCGTGCCAGCCTTCTGAACTCCCCAAATCACTCATCAGCCTGCAGGGGCCCTGGTTCCCACACTGTGCCCTGAGAACAGACCCAGGGGTCGAGGGAAGTGAGGAGAAAGCTCAGAATTAGTCACAAGAAGCGAGACAGCCACAGAGCCCGTGTGCCAGCCTGTGCCCAGAGGCTGACCTTTCGGAACCTCCTGAGGCTCTCCCCAACACCTCTCCAAAGCTATGACATGGGGAGGGGACGCCTTGGCCCCTGAACACCAGCACAGAGCGCAGCACGGCGCGTGGGCTTCTAATCTAAAGCACCCGCTGCTGACAAAGTGCTTTCAAGAACATGAACATTTCCTTTGATCTGTGAGGCAGCCTGAGCAGATACTATCAGCTCCATTGTTCAGATGGAGCCAGGGAGGCTGAAGCTCAGGGGACCGAGGTGGGGGTGGACTTCATCGTGAGGAGCAGGAGCCAGGACCAGGATCTGACTTTAGCACCCGGGCTTTGGCAGCTTTGATTTTTGTCAACTGCCCTTTAAAAATGCTTGTAGAGGGCCGGAGATTTAGCTCAGTGGTTTCACCACCTGGTGCGCAAGCACAAGGACCCGAGAGTTCGATCCCTGGTACCAAAACAAAACAAAACAAAAATCTCAGTAAAAATGCTTGTAGAGGGCCGGGGATTTAGCTCAGTGGTTCCGATGCCTGCCTTGCAAGCGCAAGGACCCGAGTTTGGTTCCTGGTTCCAAAAAAAAAAAATGCTTGTAGAAAAATCTGAAAACACAGAAATGGACTAGGGAAAAAAGATCTCTGATCTTACTCGAACATAATCATTGCTTATATCTATTGTGTTTCCTTCCAGTCTTTCTGTTGTGCCCTTTTATAAAACAGCTGCTCCACCATATGTAAAATGCAGTACCCTCCCTTCTTCTACACAGTTTTCTGCATTCCTTCCTCTGATGACTTGGCCATTCGTTCAGCAGGAGTTAATGATGCCTGTGACACACGGACCCCACTCCCAGGGGTCCTCATGGACTCACAAGACAAAGCACTCATCATTCAAAGGGGGAGATGGTGAACAAAGTAATAAAATACAAGGCCACCATTAGGTGTGCACCCTCACAACTACGATGTTCAAACGTTGAGATGAGAAAGTGAAGGAGCAAAAGATAATTCTATGAAAAGGACTAAGAGACATGTTTTCCCACAGCGAAACTTCTCTCCGTATCTATCCTTCTTTGGCAGGAGGGAAGGGCAGAGATTCTGTAACTACATCAGGAAGGAAGGTGAAAACCCTTAGGTATGGAGAAGCCTCCTTCCTGTCCTGTCCTGTTCCATTAGTAAGTCAGGACAACCTGGCAGGTGTAGCGATAGGAACTTGGTCCCAAGCGCTGAAAGAAACTTTCTCTGGAAGTTGAGGTCTTATCACACACCCAGATAAGGGTCAGCTTCCCTATGCTAGAAGTACTGGGGCCCTCTCCCTTGGGAAACAGGTAACTTCTTGTGTCCAGTAGCAGTAGTGAGAATGGGAAGGGCTGTGACAACCGAGCTCTCCAACATGCAAGGGTCAGAAATACATGCTCCTGGCCCAGGTGACCCAGGCTTGGCTCTCTCAGGGTAGGTTGGCCAGCCGGCATTGATATACTTTTTGTCAGCCTGCTCTAGAAGCAGCTGACAGGTGGGGTCAAGATGGGCTGTGCTGTCCAACCTGCTCCACCCCAACAACCCTGGATGCTGAGAGACTGCACTGGTGTTCTCTGGGCGGCACCCCAGTGCACAATGCTGATCTGCAGGCATTCCCCAGAGCCCACACTTCATGCCCGCCTGTGGGGTTTGGCCAGAACAGTAGCGTCACTGAGTCCCTTCTTCACAACCAAAATGTCTTTAGGCTAAATCCTCTGGGGTCAAAAGTGTAAAGAGAATTTCCGAACCTTCTAGAATCCTCAGAGGAAAAGTCAGTCAGCAAATGCCAATCTCAAACATTTGTACCAGAAGTTCTCCCAAGGAGGAGGAAAAAAGACCCAGAACGCATCTTAGAATCAAAGTGGCACATCACCCCTTTGAAGTGGCACCTGCAGGCAGATGCCCTTACAGGTTTTTTTTCCATTCTGTAACCTTCAAAATGTGAAATGCCCTTAGAAAAGATACGAATAAACAATTTGCTGCCCTCCGGGGGACTGCTGCGCCCACACAGGTGCAGCCATTCACAAACCCCATCATCCTGAAGTCAGCCCCGCTCCCGGGTTGAGTCTGACTGCTCCTGATGTTCCTTTCAATCCCACTGCTCAATGAAAGACGCGCGGTCATCAAACAAGGTCTAGCAAAAGTGTTTATTGAGAAGAGTGAGCTCCCAGGGAAGAAGAATCTGGGGTCCTTGGCCGAATAATGGGGAAGCTGAAGGCCTGGCGAGAGATTTGGGCTCCGTGGAGAAGGGAAGGGCGCAGTTTCTAGGCTAAGTCCTGCAGCTTTGCCATAGAGGGGACATGGGCCACCAGATACAAAACCAGGGCAGTGTCACTTCTGTGGAACCCACCAGAAGGAACAAATTGGGCAGCTCCCTCTGGCTGGTTCCCATGTCTTTGGGGAGCTTTGAAAATCTGAATAGATGGTGATTAATGCCAAAGCCGGGGATTTAGCTCAGTGGTTCCACCGCCTGCCTCGCTTGAGGTCCTGAGTTCAATCCCCGGTACGGGGGTGGGGGGGGGAGTGCAATGCCGAAGCCCACAAGGTCACAAAGAGGACTGTGTACAAAAGGCCTCTGGATTCTCATGTTCTGTAGAAACTTTTGAGAATGAAAGGGCTAGAGGGTCTGATTTGGAGCAGGAATTTCTCAGAGGGCACAGGCGAGCAGGGAGCAAAGAGGGGCAAAGGCGAACAGGGGAGCAGAAAAACCACAGCCGGAGACAGCCGTGGCCTTTGGGAATCTGGGTTGGATGTTCGGGTCCGTCCTATGCTGAATGGGGCAGAGCAGGAAATCCGCTTCCCTGTCCCGGCTCGGAGCCCCTGTGAGGTGTCTGTGCCATCTCAGGAGAGCCCCACGGCCTGAGAGAAACGTGAGTCTCAGCAATGTTTGGGGGGCAGGGGATGCGGGTGGTGTGGGGGTTCAAACAGCTGAGGTTCCAGGGAAGCTGATGGAGCAGCTCTCTAGGCACCGTCAGCCGAGCAGGCCCGTGCGGGATCCCGGTCCCCTTCTCCGGTCGTCGGCTCCGCTGCCGCCCAGGGGGGGCTACCAGGCGGCCTAGGCGGCGTTCAGGGTCTGAGATCGCCCCCAGAACACGGAGTTGTCGTCCCTGGAGAGCGAGGAGGCCGAGCTGACCCTACGCACGGGGCGGCCGGCGCGCCCACAGGCCCGGTGCAGTGCCCGGGCGCGGAAGGAGCGGTCGAGGAGCAGGTAGATGAGCGGGTTCGCGCAGCTGTTGACGAAGGCCAGGCAGGTGGCGACGGTGAGACCCCAGCGCAGCGCCAGCACCAGAGGGCAGGGCAGCGGCAGCGCCCTTAGGCGCGCCAGGTGGAAGACGGCGCGCAGGGCGCTGAGCGGCAGCCAGGAGCCCACGAAGGAGCCCTCGACGGCGAAGATGATGCGCAGCGAGTTCCTCCGGGCCCGGCCCACGTGCGGCGGCCCGCGCAGGCGGCGCGAGATGCGGCAGTAGCAGAAGACGGTGACGGCCAGCGGCAGCACGAAGGTGAGCAGCAGCAGCAGCAGGCTGAGGGCTTGGAAGGTGTCGGACGGCTCCTCGCCGCACTGGGTGCCCGTGGCGCCGGGGACCGGCTGCAGCCCGCGGAAGAGCAGGGAAGGCAGGCCGGCCAGCAGCGCCACGGCCCAGACGCCGCAGCACGCGGCCAGCACGCAGCGCGGGGTGCGCAGCGGCCGCGCCTCGAGCAGCTTCACCACGGCCAGGTAGCGGTCCACGCTGAGGCCGGCCAGGAGGAGCGCGCCCGCGCAGCGCGTGCCCGCCAGCGCAAAGCTGCTCAGTTTGCAGAGCCCCGCGCCGAAGGGCCAGCGGCCGCCCCGCGCCGCCGCTGCCGCCCACAGCGGCAGCGTGAGCACGAAGCCCAGATCGGCGGCCGCCAGGTGCAGCACGAAGGTGTCCACCAGCCTCCGCGGCCCGCGCCGCCCGGCCAGCAGCCACACCACGAAGGCATTGCCCAGCAGCCCCACGGCGAAGGCCGCCAGGTAGAGCGCGGGGACGTAGGCGTAGCTGTAGGGCAGCTCCCACGACGGGCACGGCTCTAGCTCCTCCCCCAGGGCGCCCGAGCCCCAGCCCGAGTAGTCCCAGTCCTGCGTCCCGGGGCCAGGGCTCCCGGGCGCTGTGGAGACCATGGCCGGCCGCGCTGGGGCCTGAGCGGACGCAGACGCGCTGAGCCGGGAGCCCGGCTCTTCACGGCCGGTGCCCAGCACCTCCCTTCCTGCCGGCCCGCCCGGCCCTAGGCGATGGGTGGGCAGGAAGGTGGTGGAGGCGGAGGGCGTGGGCCGGGAGGGGCAGGCTCCTGTGGTGGAGTCAGAGTTGGCGCTGGCCGAGGGGGCAGGGTGAGCAGGGGCGGAGGGGCTTCGTACTGAGTCCTGGCGGGAAAAGTCCCCAGGGCTGGGAGAACTGTCCTGTCCCGCAGCGCCAGCGAGGGCAGCCGCGTAGCTGTTAGTCGTTCAGTTTCTGTTTATGGAATTGGGGTACTTGCCCAGTTATCTGGGGCCTAGTGTCACGTTGCAAGAGCTGCTGGGTCCCTGAGAGCCCTGATCTGTCCTGGGCCCCAGTCCCACCTGCTTCTCATCGCTGCTATTTTCTCTCCCTGAGGAGGCCGGGAGAGGGATGAGGCTGTTTTTCGGGGAGATGATGTCTCCCTCCTATCCACCCGTTCTCTAGGAAAGAGGGGATCAGCTGTTTGGTACACAGCAGGACCTGGAGAGGTGGGGAGCCTGCCCTTGGTATCTAGCTCCTTCATTGTCATTAACCTGAGATGGAGGACTAAATGTCTTAATTCTGAGTGTCTTTTCTGACCAAATCGGGTCCCTGTGGAGCTGGCTGGAAGGGTTTTGTTTGTTTGTTTATTTATTTATTTATTGGTACCGGGGATTGAACTCCGGCTCTTGCGCTTGTGCAGCAGGCGGCGAAACCACTGAGCTAAATCCCCGGCCTGGAAGGAGGGGAGAGGTGCAGTCAACATTATCCTGCTGGAAAGGGACAGAGCCTCGGATTCAAATCCAGCTCTTCTGCACCCTCCTCCAACCTGCAAAACCTACCTGTGGCATCAAACACAGATGTAAGCTCAGTACAAAAGGTGACATAAGATGCCGTCTAATGAACGTTGGACTAGTCCTCAATGATGAGATGGGAGCTTAAAGGGAGTGAGATCTCCTACGTGCTGAGAGTAGGAGAAGAATTCATGAAGTGTGACCTTGATTGGGGTGGCAGCACCTGAAGAGGAGAGGACAGGTGAGGAAAAGGAGGGCACCCGGTTACCTGTGAATCCCTCTTAGCAGACATCCCTTCCCTGAGAGGCTGTGTTGGAACTAATGTTACAGTGTTGTCCCTCTTAGAGTCACTTCCAATGCCACCAGGACTAAATAATTGATGGATTGGGCAACCTGGTATTGAACATTTGACATGGCTCTCAATTTTATTTGATTCTGTCCCATTAAAAGTGAACTCCTCCATGCAGCAGGCATAGTTGCAGGCATTTCGAGAGCGACATTCTTGACCTTACAGGGTCATCGCTGTGGCAGGAGAGATACATAGGTGCACGCTCAAAGCCTGATGGGCCAGTAAACCATGGTACGTGTTAAAACCAAAGGCCTGAGAACTTAGAAGAGGGAGCAATTACTTCTGCTGGGAGGAGTGAAGAAACAAAGACTTCCTCGGTGGTGAAGCTTCAGGTCAGTCCTGGGATGGAGTTGAAGGTCAAAAAGCAGCAGAGAAGACAGATCAGACTAGAAGGAGGAGATGAAGAACAGCCATCAGAGACAAGCAGAACATGAGCTCTTTGTGGCACAAGCAGTCTGCTCTTGTGACCTAAGCCCAGGATAGGAAGAGGGGAGCAGGGGGTGAAGCTGGCAGCATTGTTGGGGGCGGATCACGAAGGGGGTCGGCTTTTGTTCCACAGGTAGTGGGGAGCCACGTTGTTTTGCAAAGATCACTGGGAAAACTGTGGACTGGAGAAGGAGGAGGCTCAAGCCAGAGAGACCCCAGCAGAGGCTGTTAGAAATATTTGTGTTTGAAGGAGATTATCGACAGGAGGGATAGAGAAGAGGATCCACTGCAGAGGTTAAGTGTAACGGCCCAGGCCTCTGGAGGGAGGAGGTGAAATGGGTCCGGGCCCTTCTCTCTGTGCGGATGATATCTTCTTCCTTGAGGTCAGGGACACAGAGGGCGTGTGCGCTTGATGTCGAGTTGAGGTAAGGCGATGAAATAATTTATGATCTGAACCAAGACACTTCTGAGAGTGAAAGAGACACTATCAATATTGAACTTGGCCACCATAAGGTCCCCCTTGGTTGAGCTCCCTCTAGTCTATGGAGCTTTCTTAGTTGGAAAATTATTTTAGAGCCCGTGGAGGGTTGGGCATGTGGGCGTTGAGGCTGTTTCTGTTCAAAACTTTTCTCGCCCACCAGTTACAAGCTGAAGAAAGGCAGGCAAGAGAAGCCAGGGCTGGGGCTGTAGCTCAGTGGCAGAGTGCTTGCCCTGCATGTACCAGGCCTTGGGTTCAATCCCCAGCACCTGAAGCAAAGAAAGATTGTTACATCCACTGAGAGTGTGGCTTCTGGGCTTGTCACTCTGAGGGCATTTCAGGTATGGAATTCCCCAGAAGGACCCCCCCCGCCCCCGCCATCCTCCAAGAGTAGAGAAACCTGAGGAGTTGCTGGGGATTTGGAGCAGATTTTCTAATGTCTGCTCACATGGTTGCTGGTGAGCAGCTCCCCTGGGCGACGGCAGCTTTCTTCCCTGGAAGGCCAGCAGGACAGTGCCAGGACACTCAGGGACAGGCCCAGTGCTGCTGGATCTCCCTTCCCCTCAGGCCTTACTCCAGTGAGGTACACTCCAGTCTGGGACTACGAGAGAATGAGTGATCCTGAAACCTCGAGACGAACAGCAAAGAAACCACAGGTGAAAAAGCAGAATGGGGTGAGTGGCCCAAGAGCAGAGTAGAGACAGGGGGTTGAGGGGAAGTAGAAGTAGGTTGTTTATTTTAAAAACACAGAGATTCTTGCTTCCTGGGCTGTGGTCTCATACCCAAGGGAAGTCTGTGGTCAAGAGCTTAGGGTGAATTTTCTCTGCTCGGGCCTGGGCACAGTGGGCCTGGCTGAGCTCGTCTGGATGGGAGAAAGCGAAGACCAGAGCTGGGACCCTGCCCTGGGGTGGCCTCCAGGTACCCAGCCTGGCTCAGTGACCAAGGCCAGCTCTACAGTGCTGCTTCCTCTTCTGCTCCCCAGTAGGACTCCCTGACAGCCACCTGAAAGACGCCATCTTTTCCGGCTGAGACGCCTGGTCACTCATAGATGCTAAGAAGTCCTGTGCCCTTTCTCCACCTGGCCTGAGCCTTCCCTGACCTCACCCCCAGGCTTTCCTCTCTCTGGCCCGACTGTTCTGTGGGTCAGTCTTGCCCTGGTCTCTTTGGGGTGAGGGCTTCTCCCTATCCATCACGGTGACTGTCCTAAGCCTGAGGACGCAGGAGACAGTGAATTAATACCCAACACTGATCTCACTTGCTTCTGGGAATAGCCTGATTTCTGCCCCGCGTGGGCTATTTACAGTGTTTCTCACCAATATTAATTTTTTTCTGTACAAATAAGCTTAATCTTTTAGGACATTTTTGAAAATTGTATTTGACTTTTTCATCATAAAGGCCACAGAATCACAGGACAGAATATAGAAGAAAAGGCATCCCAGGTCTGGAACCTCAGCATACCTGTGCCTAGCTAGCACGTTGATGAATTTCTTCTCAGTTAGTGAAGGATGTTTTCAAAAGTAAAAAATCCACCTGTAATTTCATTATTCTTAGATTTTTCTCCTTTCATATTCCGTGTTAGCTAGTCTTTTTATGATGTTTCAGAGTCATATTTGTAATTAGAATGTACACAGCTTTATGGTCTGCAATTCCCAATCAATGCCCTGTAAATTCATATTTTTCTGTTTTTTAAACCCTTAAATTTAGATGTTTCGGTTGCTTCTAGTTTGTTTGTTTGGTTTTTTGAGACAGGTCTCACTGTGTACCACAGGCTGGCCTCCAACTTGCTGTAATCCTCCTGCCACCATGGCTGGCAGCTGCTTCTAGTATTTTTAATGGTTATAGATATCTGTAATAAATAAGTGAACTTATGAATTTTCATTTCATACTGTTGTTATAATTACCTTTGGGTAGCTCAAAGGCTATGAAAAATTTCATTGAGACAAATGTTTATAGTGATTAGTAATTCAAAATGTCATGGCATTTTATGAGGTTATTATATTCAATGCAGTCATGTTAGAGATGTTCATCAGCAATATACATATATATATATAAAATTATATATATTGTATAGAATTCAAATCAAATTCAATGGTTAGAGTCAATGTTGACCTTATGGGGAAATTTGATTCGGTTCTTGTCTAGTTCACTTTGCAACCAGAATCATGGAGAGAATTGAGTTTGTGAACTGAGATATATATATATATATATATAAAATTTTCATTTTATACAGGTAATGAGGTATAATGTTATATCATTTAAATTTGGATATAAGATGGAAAAAACCTTTCCATATTTACTTCCTCACATGTGAACCACGAATCATGTCCTTCACACATTTATCTATTATGATTTTAAGGGCCGGGGATTTAGCTCAGTGGTTCCACTGCCTGCCTCACAAGTGGAAGGACCCAAGTTCGATCCCTGGTACCAAAAAAACCCCAATAAAAATATTATGATCTTACGATCTATATTTATCTATCAAGAGCTTATGATCTTAAATACTATAAGGCCAGTATCTCATACTGTTTAGGAGAAATCACTATTCTGTTTGATTCAACTATTTTTCCAAACATCTTCTTAGCTATTTTTTGTTTTACAGTTTCATATAGTTAAATTTGTTACTAATGCAAGAGTTTAGAATTTTACTTTCTCTTTGATGATGAGAACATTCAGTTCTGTTAAAAACTGTCTTTTGGGGCTGGGGATTTAGCTCAGTGGTTCCGCTGCCTGCCTCGCAAGTGCAAGGTCCCGAGTTCAATCCCTGGTACCAAAAAAAGAAAAAAAACACAAAACTGTCTTTTTAAATCCACCTAGTGTATATTTTTTGAGATTTCAATTCTGCTTTCCTAACACCAGCTATTAAATTTAAAATGCATCGGAACCTCTGCTTTGTGTTGTGATGTCGTTTCCTA